GATGTACCAAGCCAGTGCTACAATCCTCTCAGACAATTCTGGTACCAATTTGCTGACCGCGGAGGAATGAAGGGTTGGTGAGCCTCAGTCGCGAGGAGCGATCTCACGTTCGTATTGTAGAGCGCCTCCGACCACTGCGCCACAAGTGCGACAAATCGTTATATATTCTAGATATATATCCAATCACGAATCCAATGAATGGCGTAAACTCGCTCACCAGGTAAGTACGAGAATGTGATAAGAACTTAGTAATAACTCTACTTCTGGATTCTCTTAACGGTAGTTAAACAAGCAAATTATGAAACAGTGGACAACTACCATTAAGTGCGTAAACCACTGTAATGTGCGGCCAGACATGCGCGCACGGTCGTTAGCTGAAACCACTTCATGCCCAAAGAAATCATTTAGCCTAATGAACAGATGCAGCGACAGTGGTCTTGATATGCACCAAAAACTACAATTCACTGAACCATCACTGTGATCGAAACCTAGAGCTTCATACGTACTCCCATGAAGCTCAGTAGATCAGTAACCATAAAACTGCAACAGTGTCAGTACAAGAAAAAACACCTCTCTTCTCTGCTCTAAGTTGCCTTTCCTAGTTTCTGACGTACTGGAGAACTATATGAGAATAATAGTCACCATATAACTTTCATAATGCTGAGATATTTGCAAAACTCCAGACCGCAGGTGTCTGCAGTGAGGAACGAACACGCTATTGTTCTTTCCGGGGAGTAACGCGCTCACCACCACACCATGCGGGTCCTTTGTTCCACCTATCTCTCACCTAGTTCTATCGTCTGGGTGATTGCTGATGGCTGTGATAGATAGAACTAGCTGAGAGACAGGCGAAACGAAGGACCGGCATGGTGTGGTGGTGAACGCGTTACTCCCCGGAAAGGGCAATAGTGCGTTCGTTCCCCACCGCAGACACCTGCGGTTCAGAGTTTTGCAAATATCTCAGCATTATGGAAGTTCTATTTCGCAACCTACCCTGCCATTAAAAAGAATAGGCAGTAAATAAAAAGGTTAAGATAGTCACCATATAATTTAGAAAAATAATTCTAATTTATCGTTTCCGTTTCCATCAGGAAGCGTAGCTAAGAGTAAACCAATACCAGGATCCATCCTCCGTCCTGGTATCAAAGTCGCATGGTGGTAAATCTCCTTCTGATCCACAAAGGCTACGACTGCCCGTGGTGGTGAAGACGTGGGGCAGACTTTGGCCAGGCTGACCTCGGGACTCCAGGGAACCATAATGACTTAACCAGCAAATCTCCGAAAAATGGAGAATATGCTGATGCCCGCACAAGCAGTGAGGACGGGCCATTCAAGTATCAAGTATCAAGTATCAAGTAATTCGAATTTAATATTCACCTAATAGATGTTGATGGTAAGGAGCCAGATAAGTTGCCCTCATTTTTTAACAAGATGATATAATAACATTTGGTCTTTCTTCTACCGAACCCCAACTGAACGAATTCATTGGAGTGCCTATTCATTTCCGTGTTTGATCCTTTTATGGGACCGCCCAAAGACAGCATGGAAGACCGTAAGTGGTGGAGGAAGGGCAAGGGGCGCGGTTTCTGGTAACAGGAGGATATCCGATTGCGCGACTCTCTCCCGCTATCACCATACACTAACGTCGACCATCCTACATGGACAGCAGTCTGTTTTTATTTAGTGGGATGTTGTTCGTCTAAGATTCAAGTCATTCTTGGAGTTCACCATAATTACAGACTTTTTGCCAACTCATTGCAAATCGAGGCTGATCCACTATCCAATTAAAATTTCGCATTTCTGTGTTGCTGACATCCTTCCTTATTCTACCCTATCACCATCTTAGACTGATAGTTAATTTGTACTCCTTCGTTGATAAGCTTACATTAGGTTGATAAATAGTCCTTGTTCGCCTGACGTCTCGATGTGTTCTTCATCAAAGTCGATGGGTGGTCCGAGTCGATGGTCGACGGTTGAAATATTGCTATACTTTATGATAATTGTTAAGTTCTTTAACCTTTGGAAGAGCTTTTCGACCGTCTTTCTCACCTTCTATTCTACTCTCAGTAGATCGTTTTCGTCCTTGGTAGAGCACTTAATACGACATCAGAACAGGTTATGGTCTTAATTATGCCTTTCCACCATTTATTCTACGTATTCCATCAATTTTGCATTTCTGAACTGCACTCACACGAGGTGTTGACCTCTTCGGAACATGTGCATATCATTTAAGATGGCTTAGCCTTCGACTCGAAACGATCACGGCGAGAGGCGATATCCTATTCGTTCCTATTTCCTCATGTTTTAAATGTTTCCTATATGGATAAACTCTCATGGTTTACATGCAGATTCTTCATTTTGGCCGAATTTACGCTCTGCCGTTAATATGAATGACCTTCTTTTCATCTGGTATCTGATCTGGTTCGACCGCTTTGCAAACGCATCAGCAACGTTGTTTTTCGTTCCTCGCGAATGCACTTTATAATTGCTAATATCATCCTCGCCACTCTTGAATACATTGGTCTTAGCCACATCTCAGCGATCACTAATGAAGGCTGTGTACGACAAGAAGTACCATATTTGGACTATAGGCGATGGAAAGGGCGACTTAAGCACATGTACATGGACTGAATACTACATAATAGATGCGAACTATAGTTTACTTGAGACATGCGATAGCACCAACCACATCTTCAATGATGGGCGCAATATTTTTAGACAGCCATTGTACTCAGACTTTAGACCATATAAAAGGCAGTGTAGGTAATCAGCATGTGAACGTTTAATACTCAATCTAATCCATTGATTACCCAGGGTATAAGGTATTGTCAAAAATGTCCTAATACCCAGGAATTAATACGGTGAAAAGCACTACATCCAGACCGTGGTTGATTGAAAGGGTTAACTTAAGCTTGGCAACACATGAACTCCGTATTGCGCATTGGGTATGAGTTTGGCTTGATTCCAGTTTATTCAGAGTATACTGGTAACATCAACGATACTTTATTGCTCATTGGAAAGTGCTGTCTCTTATGGCATTCTCTTATTCTCAGACTGTATGCATTTACAGGCAGAACCGAAGGGAGCTTCTCATGAACGGCGTCGTTAGGAGTGGATTCAACGGATTTTATGGATGCAACATGAGACTACTTTGTGTCCTTCGGTTTTCCTGTTTTGCGAAATCTTATAAAAAGTATGCCTTTCCGACCAGACTGCGGTTCAGTTTTCGGTCCTTGTTTTGTCACTTAATGAGAAATATTTGTTCTCATGTGACCTTTGACAATAAATCTGTCGGCTTCGGCGTAAACGTCAACTTTTTCACAGTATTTTCAACCACTGGAAAGTTGGGGAACCGGTTAAGGTAAAATTTTGGAAAATTTTAATAGCACGCAATTTTGATGCAGAAAATACACTATAGTAAATGGCAAAGGATAAATCTGTCGCAGTTGATCAATCCCTGAGGGTTGCCCCATGAATTCGACTTCACGAAGAGTCGTTAGGGGTGAATGAATATATATCTGGCTTATACAATGTATTACGGTGGCCTACTGATGTATTGAGTCAGTGCTGCTATCCTCCCAGAGAAGTGTGATACCAGTTTGCCGATTCTGGAAAAATGTAATGTTTGGTGAGCCTGGGGCGCAGTATGGAACCCATGTGCATTATAGGCCTCTTTAACCATTGCGGTACACGAGCCGTTTTGGGACCCGATAGAAAATGCACTATTAATATAAAAAAATAGTAAAAGCAAACATATGTGAAGATGAAGGGGGAAAAGTACAAATAACAAAAGCTCTTAAGTTTCACTCGAATCGTATTATTGGTTTCAGCAAAGTGGTTATTGATGCAGTCCATTTGGAAGCAAAGTGCTCGTTCTACTCCTATATAACGCTCCCTTCAAGTTCATGAGACAACGAAGATGAAATCCTCAAGTAGCTGCGAAACAACACGTGAAATGAATAAATTTGTAGACGATGAATGTGAGGAAGAACGGTTCGAACGTAAGAGATTCTTGGATCCGTACGGTAGATGTGATGACGGATCACGGGAAACAAATTTAGATAGTACGAAAAAGTGGTGCCATTTTTTCCAACTATTAAGAGAACTTGAAGTTTTAAAATTGAGGCCATGCTGCTCTTTTGACGGGTCTGCTTCCTCCACATTTGGAAATATGTAGGTGCAATAACAAACAGTGAAGCTCTGGAGAATTCAGCACGTCGTCCTCATACAACACTCTTGATAGTTGTAACCAGTTGACAGTTGTCGTTTTCGGCGACGGTTAAGTCTTTGTAGGCCTGTGTGTATGCGCATGTGTGTGTATCGGTGTGTGTCCATGCATGTATATATAAGTGTATATATGCATAAGTGTGTCTGTGTATGTGTGTGTTTGTGTATGTGTTTATGCATGTGTGCGTATGTGTGTATATGTGTATATCTGTGTTGGTATGTGCGTGTTTGTGTGTGTGTATTTGTGTGTTTGTGTGTACGTATGTGTGCGCGTTGGTATATGCGTCTGTGTTTGTGTATGTATGTGTATGTGTGTGTATAGTGTGTGTATAGCGTGTGTGTATGTGTATGGTGTGTGTGTGTGTGTGTATATATATATATATGTGAGGTCGTCGATTCCTTTCAAGAATTTGTCAGCTACAAAAGCGGAAAGCTTCTTTCGTCTCGTTTTATATCGCTTCTGCTTCCGAATGGATTGATTTGAAACTGCAAAATAGGAAGTTTCCCTTGCTGGCTTCTACTTTTATGCCAGAAAAATTTCACACTTAGTTGGATGTCAAGCTTCAAGGCGCCTGATTCCATCAATGTATCAGAAATCTTCATTAAACTCCCATATGGTAGTTGGATGAATCGTTCCAAACCGATTAGGTTAAATCTACTCTCATTGCGTAAAAACTGGCTTCTGGTTCGAGAAGTTTTATGATTACCATCTTTTGCGTTGCCATTGAAATTTTAGAATATAATTTAACGAAACAGCTTGAGATCTCTTACAGATGGTCGCCACTGGCGATTCCTCTCTGGTCACCGTCAGCGTCATTCAGCCGACCTCAATGAAAACAAATGAAACACGTGAGTCGACTTGCGCGCATTGTCGTAATTTATTGTCATTTACTTATCAATGGTGTCGATAAGTTAGCATTCTTCCTCTACAACAAGATTTTAGAGATCTTTCTTTAATTGATTCAACGATGTTTGTTAGTCTACCTGCTAAACTTATTAGACGCTCAACCGCTCAACTTCTTTTTCCTCAACTGTCAAGCTGGATAAGATGTGGCGATAATTTAAAGACGTTTAGAGTCACTAGAAAGATAACTGCATATTTTGTGTAATGATTAATGAATAAGGGATAAACCTCTCGGCGTTGATCAATCCCTGAAGGATGCTTCATGCATTCGACTTCATTAAACATCGTTTGGAGGTGATTGAATGCATATCTGGCCTTTAGAATGACTCGCGGTGGCCTACCGGTGTATCGAGTCAGTGCTGCTATCCTCCCAGACAAGTGGTACCAATTTGCTGACCCCGGAAGCATGGAAGGCTTGGTGGGACATGGGCGATATTATGATTAAAAAATGCTGATAGCCACCACAATTGACATGTTATAGTAGAATACAAAGATTTTGACGTTGAAATCCCATGGGGTTTCCTATGCATTAGATCCCATTCGTTGCATCGTAAAGGTGACCGAGTGCATGTTTGGCCCAAATTTCATTAATGTGACGGAACCGGAACAATTGCAAGCTAAGCGGTAGAAGCGACATATAATATTAGCCGTGAAAATTCTTGCTGAAGATGATGAAAATGGGGATGAATATCCCCAATCTTTGGGTTAGATCGGAATAAAGGCAAAGTAAAGCTAACACCACATCTGAAAGATTGAAAAATAGCTGAAGGCCTCATGCATCTGTCCTCAATTTGAAGGCAGAAAAGGTAGAAAAACAATGAAGGAAAGGGAGAAATAAAAGAGTAGGAAGAAAAGCGAAGAACAAAAAAAGAGATTAGTTTAAAAGAACGTTCCATGCCTAGTACTTGAGCCGACATCATCATCACGGAGACTTGGAGACAGGCAGCTGTGCTGAAAATGGGTCGAATTTTGGAAGGTTGCTTATAGTGATAGCCACATAAATGAGCCAATTCTTTACTTAAATAATTAGCCGGCCAGTGAAGTCCCAAGGTCAGGACTCTGTGCCTTGGTAATCACCGGACTCTGTGACTGGACCACTCTATCATCGAGGTCCTCAGTTTGTGACCTTGCTTTCTTAAGGGTGGCTGCAATTCTTAGCATAGATTTATGCTAAGCTAAGCTTCCTGATGGAAATATTGATCTGGTGTGAGTGATTCTTGCCATGCGCATGAACCGCTCCTCTATTTCGCATTTCGACAACTAAGAACACGCCCGTACTACGGTAAGGTAAGTAAACCATGGACGAGAGTGAATGGTTCAATAGATAAATAAGTAAGCAAGTAAATTTTTGAAACCTTGGCTGAGTAAATCTGTATATTAACCTCGTGTAAGCTCAACAATTTAAATACATATTGATTATTTTGCTGTCGAAATTAAATGACGGTCGACTTAAAAGTTGTTTTAGTGTTCATAATTAAAAGCAGCTGGAGATCAAAGCAACAATGCCACCCTTCCCCTAATCTTTGTGCTGCCCTAGGCTGAAACCCTGCGCTATCAGCAACATTGAGAGTTCAAGGTTCTTGGAATAATGTTTTTGACAAAAGTGGCGAAGCTGCTTTTTTATTATGAAAATTACCATGCTCTCAAAATACCTGCGCTTTCCTGTAACACGCTTTTGCACTTTTTAATTTCTTGGTTACCTTTTGTTTAAATCAAGAAGTGAGTCTACTAGAATGTGCTAGGATTAGAGTGACCTTTGATTAACCACATAAGCATTTTTAAAATGCTTGGTTCCAATCGTTGCTTTTAAGAGCTCCTGGAAGAAGTAATCGTTGTTTCGAAGTCCATCCCTCTGAGGTCCGGTGTTTTGCACATATCTCAGCATCGTTGTGGTTATACTTCACATAATACTTACTTACTTGATACTTGAACGGCCCGTCCTCACTAGTTGTGAGGGCGCCAGCAGAATCTCCATTTTTCGGAGATTTGCTGGTTAAGTCATTGTGATTTCCTGGAATCCCGAGGATAACCTGCCCAAAGCCTACCCCAGGTCATCACCACGACAAGCAGTCGCAGCCCTTTGGATCAGAGGGAGATTTCCCACCACGCGACTTTAATACCAGGACGTTGGTGGATCCTGCTATTGGTTTAATCATATCTGGGCTTCCCGATAAAAACGCTGATAAGTTCCACATCTGCTTTGGGACAGACTAGCAAGCTGCCCATGAGTGTATCCAGCTTCAACGTTTAGACTTTAGAAAGTTATACGTGAGTGTCCGAAGGCTAAACACAGTAAAGTAAACGGGCTCCATTCCCTTATCTCCAAATGAGCTCACTATGCGGCAGGGAGGGAGTGCAATTTGAATTTATGCTCCCCAGGTCATTCACGTTGACGAGTAACAGCTGATAGCACAGTTCAAGTAAAAAAAACTGGCTAAGAAATAAGCAAGGCCTCGGTTGGTGCTGTGGATGTCACGTCAGCTCTCGGAAGCGCTAAGCACGGGTTCGAAGCCCAACTACGGCTCAGAGTTTTGCTCACATCTCAGTATCCTTGTGGCTGTAGTTCACATCGTACTCCGCCACGAAAAAAGAATAAGCAGTGAATAATAGCTAGATACTGTCGTTTTACCATGAAAAATGTTCCAGATTTTTCTATTAAGGTTCCTTTGGGGAATTTTATTCTAATTCGCTTCGTAAATAAACGCTTACATGAATAAGTTTTAGATGAATTAGTGATTGCTTTAGATAGCACAAAGCGACCTGATGAGGACACCTCGTGGACGAGATACGCTGTGTTGTGCGCCACCATCATTTGCTTGTCATCTGTCATGGCGAACATGGTGTGCTTCAACTTCACCGTGCTCTGCATGCCGGCCACTCACGAGGTGCTCGCTGCCAACGAGGTATGGATTGAAATTAGCCAATAGCTATATTTTGCATGAAAACCTTTGCGTGGGCGCCAGAAGAAGTATCTAAGATATAGAGTTCCCAGAAGTCCCCTAAGGTCCCAGACTAAGTGTAGGTGGCATAACTGTTCATCGATAAGCCAAGACGAGGTTGTTAAAAAACTTTATTCTGCCGAAGAAGGTAGCTAAGCACGGCTTTTTATCAGCCTCGTGCTAGCTTACCAATGAAAAAATACATGTGGATTGGTGATGCCGAGGTTGCCGATAATGCCGAGTCGGTTTTTGAAATGTAAATTGTATAGTTAGGATGTGATAGTGATACTATGTGATTAGTTTACGGCATAAAACATAGTTAAGATGGTAAAGCTTCTAGTACAATGTTAGCGATAGTCAAGAAAATGTCTAAAGAAAAAAGTCATAGCATTTGTTTATGGTCTGTTGCGATCGAAGAAGGATCTCCATTGAGCCTTAGGCTAACGAATGAGATCGAATTTTGATACTGAGACGAGAGTTGATGGGTCAATTTTCCGTCTTCTTGTTTACATCACCGCAATCCTCAGCTCACTGGTAATTTATCCACCTGTTGAGATTTTCTCTCTAATGAGTATCCTGATAGTCCTGATTGGACACCTTGAGACTATGTTGTCACTATATTGGTGGTGGTCCCAAGGATTGGTACTTTTAGTTTTCGTTTGGTCTGTAAAATACATGAAAATATGCTTTTTCCAAATTAGGCACTAGATTGCTTATACGTATTTAACTGTATCGTTTCCACAGTTGTTTCGGGAATCTGCGCAGTTTTTCTGATTGCTTAAGTATCTTGCAAACATCATCTAAAGAAATCGAAGAGTTCGTGGGTGGTTTAGTCCGGTTGCAAGTCCAATATCTGGCATCTTATATCCTCAAGGACATATTAAAAGCTGATTGAGCGTCGTTTTCGCTGGAAAGGTCCTCATTGTAGGGCGCCTTCTTCATCGTAGGCGTTGATCGTCTTTTTCCATAGACGCTGGTGATTTTCGGTGATTCCATAGAGCGGTTTTTGCGATTAGTTGCTTTACCGATGGTGGGCAATTGAGCGAACTGACCGAATCAAATGGAAAACAAGCCGTAGCTAGTTTCATACACCGTCATTATTAGATTTGAAGGCTATCCATAGTTTGTACTAAATCTGCTATCTTTCAACAGGAAAACTGTTGAACTGAAAACGATAAGCCATTTGCTAGAGCTTCGATTCTCTCTTTCTAGAAAATGTCTTCGAACCGAACTTTCTGCTGCGATTAGTTGCAAAGCTTACGTGACCCCAAAAACAATAATTATTTATCCATATATAATATTTGAATGTTAGAGCTAGCTGAGAGACAGGCGAAATGAAGAACCCGCATGGTGTGGTTTTGAACGCATTAACTCTCGGAAAGGATAACAACGCATTCGTTCCTCACCGCAACCACCTGTGGTCAAGAGTTTTGCAAATATCTCAGCACCATTGAAGTCATAACTAAAATTTTTTTCTTTCTGTAAAACTTGTATGGGTAAAATTTGAGGAAAACGAATGTACTAAATGGAAATGCATTTTGTTATGGAGGAAAACAAGGATATCGTAGAGGAATTCCAGAAATCTTCCAGTTTCCAGAAATCTCCTCTCCTTCTTGAAATTGTCTTCGAACCGAACTTTCTGCTGTAATTAGCTGTAAAACCTAAACAACTCTAAAAGTAATAATTATTCATCCATATGTAATATCTGGCTGTTTGCATTACTTGTAATGTATCATTGACTTGGATGGCCCATTTTCACTGGTTGTGCGGGCTCCAGCATAATTTCCATTATTTGGGAGTTTTGATAGTTTAGTCACTCTGTTTCTCTGTAGTTCCGAGATTAGCCTGGCCAAAGTCTACCCGAGGTCGTCACCACCACAAGCAGTCCCCGCACTTGTGGATCAGAGGAAGGTTTCCACGCTGCAACTAGTTTGATACAAGAACGGTGGTGATTCCTGGTACTGGTTTATTCTTAGCTGGGCTTTCTGAAGAAAACGCCAGGCTCCTTCTCAGCTTTGAAGACCTTGTGGTGGGATGAATTCGCTAGCTGTACATCGCAGCCGGGCTCCTAGGAACACCTCCCAGCCACGATGAGAGCGGTTAACCGTTAGGAGGATGTATCACTGATAGGACTGAGAATTCCTTTTTGTGAAAAGTTTCAGTAGAAGAGTAAATTGGAAATAATATCACACCAACTTTTCCTATATAAAGTCATTAACAAAATGAGATAACGAAGAAAACAAAGGAATCCGAGGAACTCGTTGATCTCTGGAAAGTGGCGCAGTGGATTCGAGTTCTTTGATAGCCGAGGGATCGACCCACTCTGACAATGTGCGTACTCACCTAAAAACTGTTCGATACTATATCTTGTTTATGATTTGAGCACACGGCTTGGCAGTAATCTTTCAAAATTTACCAGGGAGTAAGATTATATTGTGTGATGCCACAGAAGATATGAGATTTCGCCATGCCCATTTGTCATTCGTTTCTCTTTTCTGTTTCTCATGGCTTTGTTAATGTCAAATGCTTATGCTTAATAACAATTGAAGCTGGCTGGAGGTCTATTTTTTTACGGCTGCATTAGAATTGAGCTTCATACATAGGTATGACTTCAGCTTTAGCTTAGCAAATACCCCGCGAGCCACAGAACTCGAACTTTTCAGAGCTAGCGAGAAATAGACGAGATAGCAAAACTAAACTAAAGGTCAAAGAATGGCGAGTTTTATGCAGTTCGATTTATTTTTTAAATTGGTTGTCAAATTCACTATAGTTTTTCGAAAGACCATGATTTTCCATCTGTTCGCGTTCTTCCGCCGGAAGCGATCGTAGTGGACGGACGGGGGTGGCCCGTGGCTTCCCCGTACGGACGTCCATCCATCACCAGCTGAGCGACTGGAAGTGTCTCATTTAGATATTCGACGACACGATCAGCGAACCGCCTTGGCCCTCGATAAACGATGATGGTCGTGGTTGATGGTGGTGGTGAGAGAAAACCATAACATAGTTTGCTAACGCCATTCTGGTAAACAACTACTGATGTCTGGCAATCTTCGCAATGTAAACATCGCCGTGATGATGTCGTCGTTTTAGATGGTTTTTCATCTTTACCCGGTTTCGTGCTGGTTTCATTGAACGGAAATGGACAGAAGAGATTGATTCTCACAATGATTTAAATTTTGTTTGTCGTCAATTCTTTTTCATGATAGGGTGTTGTGTGAAATGCAACCACAAGTATACTGAGATGCAAGCAAAACTCGGAACTTCACTCCCGTTCCCAACCAGTGATTACCCTTTCTGAGGGTCCACGTGTTATCCAGCCGTGGCCCTGGTTCTGCTTTTAACTCCTATAAGATTGATTTTCATTGGTGGCGATTAAGTTGAGAGATAGCTGGTCCTCTGTTTTGGAAGTATTAGCACAACACTCTTATGACCGTAACTAAAGAATTCTTTTTCAACCAGAGTTTGAAATGGTTCAATGAATAATTAGTAACTGCCACGACCGAATTTCTATTAACCTCGGCATTGATCAAGTGATTTTCTTCGTATTTTTGTTGTTAATTAGTATTCGTTGATAGAGGTCATTCATGCGGTTCAAAAACTGACAACTAGCGTTTACAAACTGTCCCATTGCATTTGTCACAAGAAAAAACAGTGAAGAGAGTGTATGTCGACTTCCCAGAGATACAGACATAAGGAATCTTGTTATTTTTGAATAATATTACATATAATAAAGTTAGCTGATTTTTTTATATGTGGCTTCTTAGAGCCATCTGCAGTTATCTTTTTTAAAGCGAAAGAAAAATGGGCTTTATTAAAAGAAACAGTGAGTTTTCGATGCCTTCGACTGTTCCGCAGACAATCCCGTTCTGTATGTATTCTTTCTTTGATGAGCTTATACGAGGTTGATAATGATATTTATTTTCGGCTAACGTTTCGACGTTTTCGTCTTCCTCAGAGCCGATGATCCGAGTCGATGGTCCACGCTTGTTATTCGTCTCGACGTGGCAGCTTCGCCTTCATGTCGAGTCAGGTCTTCCTCAGCGGCCCATATCCTCGAATGAGGCATACTCACTCATGAAATCACGTTCTGTTTTGGAAAATACATGAAAAATTAACTTATTGCGCAGTTTAATGAGCCCACTTTCACGGTTAGCGTAAGGTTGGTTCATTTCTCTGTCGCTGACCAATGAAGTCTTTTTTTTACGTCACAGAGTGATGACCAGTTAGTTTCCTACAGGCCATGAACAGTAGAGAACTACTTACTATTCTCTTGCCTGTTACCTTTAAGGGACGTGATCTATAGGGGGTAACAGAGGATTAAGCGCTTGGCATTGATCAATTTTTCAAGGATTGAGCATACATGCTAATTCATTCGTGTCATCATAGAGAGGATCGAAAGTCTATCTGCCCTGTAAGGTAGCCTATCTGTGTACCAAATCAAGCTTCTACAAGACGAGTCAGGAATGGGGCCTGCTCTGGCCATGATGCCAGATCGAATCAATAGCCATTTCTGGGTACCACAAACCACTACTCTACACGCACCCACCCATATTCACGGATGTGCTCATCCTCAATGGTAATTGAACATGAAATATGAAGTGTATTTTTCTTCGTATTTTTGTTGAGCAAACGCGAGGTGTTATTATTCTTTGTTCACAATTAAGCCGACGTTTCGGCGGATTTCGCCTTCTTCAGAGCCTGGAAAGGTCAAGTTGTTAGCAACTCACTCGGCCAGACGCCTCCATAACCAAACAAAGAAACTCTAAACCAAGATTTCAATCACTTTGAACACTGCTTTGCAAACTCACCGCTTCCTATGAGGTTTCCACTAATTATGTCACGTAGAGACCAACCGTACAGAAATCTCATGGAAGTATAATGTGCTCCTCACATCAAAAAAGCAGTTTTATATACTGCCCTATATCACACGTGATAATGAGGCATTCTTCCCTGCGGTTCATTTTCGGATTTCTGGAATTAATCCAGAG